GGCTCAGTGGCCTCAGACTGCAATCAAGTTAGGCCCAGCTGGAAGAAATAAACAGCCAGTACGGTGACTTACCAGGTTGATGACGCCGACAGGGCTGGCCTTCTCGCCGAAGAAAAGGAGGCCCTTGCCGGTCTGGGAGGCCCAGGCAGTGGTGTTGCGGCCAGCCTCAACATTCTTCTCGCTGCGACGGTAGTGGGAGAGAGTAGAAGGCTCAACGGCATCGGTGCCGAACCAGAAGAACTGCTTGGAGTAGATGAAGTTCCTGCCATGGTTAGCATCCGTGGTCGATCTTATATAAAAGGATGTACATACTTGGGGAAGTTCAGGCCCTTGTGCTCAAGCTGACCCTCCTCGACGGGAACGACCTCCTCCTTGGTCTCCTCGGCAGCGGCAGCAGCCTCAGGGGCAGCCTCGGTGGTGGTAGCGGCCTCAGTGGTGGCGGCAGCAGCAGGTGCGGCCTCGGTAGCCTCGACAGGCTTGGCCTCGACGGGAGCCTCAGCAACGGGGGCCTCAACAGCAGGCGCAACAACGGGAGCGGTGGTCTCCTCCTTGGGGGCCTCGACGGCGACGGGCTTCTGTTCCTCGGCCATTTTGCTGGGTTGTTGTGGTAAAAAGGGGTATCGTGTGAGAAGGCGGATCGTGGGGTTGGGTATCTAAGAGTTTGAGTCGAGACTCGGGTATCACAATGAAATAGACTTCTCGGGGTGGAAGGAAAGCAGTAAAAAGAATTACTGATGAACCAGGCTGTGGGAAGAAGGGGAGGAGAAGGGAACGAAAAACGCAGACAACGGAAGGCAGCGGATACTTATTTGCCGTGCCCTGCCCTACGAATTGCTCGGCCCAGGGTGGGAGAGAAGAGGGCGTCCAGTCGTTGCACGGGCGGGTTGAGGATGGTGAACGCAGGGGGCTTCTGGTGGTCTCTGCCACTGATACGGCTATGGGCAAATGGGTTCGATGGGGGGGTTTGGCGTGGCCGGATTCGGGCTCGGGCTTGCTCAACAACGGTGGTGGTCTGAGGAGGAAAAAGTCACGGTGACTTCTGGTACTGGTACGGCGTGAAAGGGACCCTGACTGAGAAGCGGCTGTGGTC